CTACTTAAGTCCTTTATTAAGGATGTATTTGCTCCTTGTTTTTCTTCTTCGATGGTGTATGGTGGAATCCCTCGTTGACTGATTTCTGAAGTGATGAAATTGTCACATTGTTTGTTGCTCTGATTGGTCCTAGGGCTGTACAACTGCAAGATTAGGCAACCATAGATTCCCACAATTCAGCTCTGTCTATGGGTTGTGGCCAGACTATGTATTCACATATATAGAGGATGGCATGCCAGGCTACAAGTGGACAGTAATGGTGGACATTTTTAGCACTATCGGAATACTTATGTTTGATAATTAGATAATTAGAGCAATTTCAGAATGCTGACCTATGCCCCTTACACGTGGCTTTCAGCTTTAATCATACCAGGAGGACAATCTGTCCTTCTGTTTAAACAAGGTTGGGTTGTTTTTCTGCTCCCTGCCACACGCACATCAGAAACTCTCAATAAAAAACACGAGCAGTTATCCATAGAACTAGAATCACATAGATCTCTTGATAACTGATACGTTAGAGAAGAAGGCTCTGCTCACTGAGTGGGAGGTGCTTAGCATGGGGGATTAAAGATGATGTACAGTATGTGAAAGCTAGAGGGACATTTGGCATACTTTTGACTTGAGGTACTTTAAAGGATGTATGCATCTCTCTGTGTCGTTTTCTCTGCTTTTTTGCTCTATAAATCAAGGTAACTGGAACGACTGAATCACAGTCATTTTTTTTAGTGTATTTGTTAATGGTGTCTGGTTCTGCCCTTCGCTGGGAAGAAAAGAAGTAATAGTAAATGGCCTGTATTTGATATAGCGCCTTCTAGAGTCCTAGAAACCCCCAAGGTGCTTCACAGCCCAATCAGTGATTCACACATTCACACACCCTGGTGATGATGAGCTATATTGTAGCCACAGCTGCCCTGGTGCACACTGACAGAGGCGAGTCTGCTGTACACAAGCGTCACCGGTCCCTCTGACCACCACCAGCAGGAAAGGTGGGGTGTCTTGCCCAAGTACACAACGACAGCAACAAACTGAGTGGGGCGTGAACCTGCAACCTTAAAGGTTCCGGGGCAAGCACTTAACTTCTGTGCCACCATTGTCCACAAGTAGGGAACGAGGTCCACTACCTGAAGGTGATTTGATGAGGAGGAACCCTGCAGACCTAAAATTCAAGAAATGGTAAACGACAGCTGAAAATTTCTGTCCACCCCTGTCAAAATAATAATCTTTACCTAAATTCCTCCATTCTAATAAAGACATGGGTAAGAAACGGTTAAGGAGTATCATTGAAAATATTGAAGTAAATTGTTTTTTTTCTTTTTTAATAAAGAACACATGTTTTCCATGTTTTCTCTAAGGAAATAGTACAAAAACATCCCTGAAGTGTCTGAGTCAGCCTGAAACATAACCTCTTAATATTCCATCTTGTTTTATTGGATTCTGTTAAATGATTGCTCAGATTTCATTTACAAATGAATGATTCATATTTTTATACAAGATGATTAAAAAGTTTTATGGAATTACACAGACTGTTGCTCGACGGACCGGATTCAAGTTATGAACCAAAGTTTTACCTCTCCTCTTTACCTTTGTTATGGAAATTTTATATTTCATTACTTTTGTCCTATTAACAGATCTATTAACTGAATGTCCTGAAAGCAGTCGCGCGCACACACACACACACACACACACACACACACACACACACACACACACACACACACACACACACACACACACACACACACACACACGCACGCACACACACACACACACACACACACACACACACACACACACACATGATCCACTCCCATTCCTCTCTTATCTCTCTGTTTGAATAAACTCTGTGATCAGATGTTCGGGGCATTTTGCCTTGTGCATGCGCCACAGTTATAACTGGTTGACTTGTCTGCTCATTGTCTCCTTTTCTCTTCACTACAGGAAATGGTTAATTGGTAAACATATTGATAAAATACATGACAACCTTTCAGTCACTTTGGTTTAAAATCTTAATCTTTTGTAGCCGTTTTTGGGGATTTCAACGTCACTAAAAAGGTTTGATGCTTTCAGCACCATGGACAGCTACCTACTGGATGATTACATCTTAAAAGGAGAAACATTCATGCTGTTATTTTTATAATTGTTTTGTTTCAGGCCACAGAAAATTTATAATTTGAAGATTTATTTTAACCTTTCCAAAGTTTCTAACTCCTTTATCTTCAGGAAAAATATATAATTATTTTTCTTGTTGCTTGTTCTTCAACATCGTTCTCCTCTTTTTTTTTGCAATCCTTTCCAGTCTTCCTTGCTCTCTTCTTCCTCTGATGTCAGAACCCCGCAGGGGCCCATAGTAACTGCCTGTCTGTCATTTTCATTTAGTGCTTAAAGTCCATCAGCCTCTCTGCTCCATATTGAACAGCTCGAAGTGATACAGCGCTGCCCCTCATCAACACACTTACTAGACCCTGTAATCAACCTAATTTACAGGTGATCAGAATTAAAATGATCTTTCTGGAAATGTAACTTAATCAGCTTGAACATCAATAACTTTTAAATATGTCAAATTAATTAGTTTTAGGAAAATATGCTGTTTTATTCAAAGACGTTTTGTGAATTATTTTGTTTACGTGATTAGAACGCAAATTCATTGGATTTTGCAGCTTTTTTTAAATTCAAGATTCCTCTAGGTCTACCTTTATTAACCGATAGCCGTATTTACCTTCAGTTCTCACACTGGTGATGTTATCTTTGCAGCAAACAAGATTTAAAGCTTAATTCTGCGTTTTGCTCCTTAGTTAAGATCTAATTGGACATTGTGTCGTGCAGGTTTTCACACTCCGTGTTGTTGGTCCCTGACTGGTGTAATTAACTGCTTCTCTTCCAGAATAAGAACCAACATTATTTCATGCCAGACATTTTCCCTGGTGGACTTGCTGCAGTCCCGATTTTACGCTCCCTGATGGGGGGGGGGGGGGGGGGGGGGGGTAATACCTCAAAAGGCTTCAAGGGCAAACAAGGACTGAACTAGTTTTCATTTTCTGTAATGTGGAGAGTTTTTGATGTGTAATACATAATCCCTTCCCTGTGTTTAATGCTGCTGATTTTGCCAATAAGTATCACAAGAGAAACATGTAATACCGCACTTTATTTATTTCTTTTATTTATCAAACCCTTCTGCTTTTTTCACTGCATTCTGCAACTTTTGTACATTCGTTTCAGAGATTTTTAGGCTCAGCCTCCACCTGTTTGATGGAGAAGCACATTAACATTGGGGACATTGACCTCTGACCTCTAGGTGAACGGTCTCAAACAAATATTTGCCTGGACTCTCGAGCTGTGATTACGGAATGGATAAAACACACACCCCAGTGTTTCTCACACTGCCTGTAGTCACGACCCGTCTAGACGTCCTCGTGTCCCTCTGACACGCACTCATCCCAAATCCTGTTAGCAGCCGCAGCCAGCGCCAATAACCTACATTCTGCCGTAATCGCTCTCACTGACTCAAGCATGCTCAGCTGTTGGAGGCATTAGATCAACAATGAATAAATAAATAAACTACAATAGATCCTGGTGATGGAGCAAAATATGGAGGGAGGCTGCAGACACACAGCGAGAGGAAGAAGACTGCTGTGCTTCCAACCCTCATTTGGAGGAAGGAGGAAAAGCGTTTGGCGAGTCATGTTTCTGTGGCACTTTTCCAAGCTGATCCAAGCTGGGAGGAAGAATTAGGTGCAGGAATCCAGCCTGACTGGTTTTTACACATACGTGTTAAATAGGGATGTTTTATTTGATGTATCTTATTAAGACAGTTTAGGGGTGGCGTTGGGAAATCTCAACTTCTAAAGTACGGAAATAATTACTAATAATAATTTCAATCATTCTGTTCTGAAAACCAAACAACCTTATGTTTTTGTACACAGCCTTTACTGGAAAGCCCATATTTCTCATTATCGTGGGGTCATGAACTAAAACCTCCATTCCGAGTTCCGTTTCTTTAAAGTTTGTGTTAGTCTAAAATAAATCTCAATAATTCTCCATTCCTTTTGTTTTACTATGATTATGAGAACATTTAGTGCTCAGAATGCCACACAAACCAGCGAAATGCAAATCCAATGACTCAATCAAGCAGACAGACAGCAGAAACAGAAGGGAAGCAAGCCGTGGGCGCGGATTTGGCTGCTTCTCTGCGCGATGATGCTCGGCATCCCCGACTGACACGCCTCGTGTAATCTCCTCCCATCATCCACGGGAAGGAATTATATTCAATTTGAGCCGTGTCATTAGAAAGCTCACCACCCACCCGTACCAGGACTTGGTACTGAATGAGAAAGATGCTGAAGGGAAATTTGAAGCTTAAACATTTGGGGAATACATTTTTTTCTCCACTATCAGGAAATGGATCTGCTCATTTAGCGATGTGCAAATTAGTGTTAAACCAGGATGATCGTCGGATTGTCCGCATGTGCCTTTAATTACTCACAGTAATCCTAATAACCACAGCAGTGTGAGTGTGTGTGAGTGGAGAGAGTTGTTCATCTCTATAATGAAAGAGATGACGTCACTCTCACTTGTGCAAACCTAAACCTTCACTGGACATAAAGAAAGCTAAACAAATATAACATCTATTAAAAATAAAAATGAAAATGAGTAATTGACGAGCTTTTATTTTAGTAGGAATTCCTTACCCAGAGCTCTTCCATCATTCCATTTTATCCTGAACTTTGCTTTAACTAGGAAAACCTGCAGGGCCGTTTGTTAGGGTGATAACATCTCGTATATGGATATGGGCTTGGGTATCTGGCGGCCGCCGCGGGTGCTGCTGTATAAACAGCCCTGCGCACCGGAGCCGACCATTATGAGCAAGGGGGGTGGTGGTGGTGGTGGTGGGGGGGGGGGGGGGGGGGGGGGAGTGCGTAATCGTGTGCGCGCCTGGATGGAGACCGCCTGGGTCTGCTGCCGTTTCTAGAGGATCGCGCGCGCGCACACACATACACACACTCTGAGGGATAGTGTGTGAGGCAGCCAGCCAGCCAGTCGGTGCGAGTGTGTGAGCCATGTTGGATGTGAATGTTCGGGAGGAGTGATGCTGCTGCTGCGCCGCTCCTAACGCTCAGACCTCCGGCTCCACGGACCACAGCGGGTAGATGCCAACTCTCCGTGGCGACAGAGAGACGGGGGAGCCTTGGGGAAGGTGTCGGGCGGGGCTGGCGGTCCTGGAACTGGCCACCTAGCCGGAGCGGGGGAGCGTGAGAGAGAGAGAGTCAGATAGAGAGAGAGAGAAGTAACGGGAAGGAAGGAGGGGAGGAAAGCACACGCTACAGGAGAACGATAGAGGATAGTGCGAAGTGGAAGCGGGAGAAAGGAGGAGGAGGGACGGAGAAAGGAAGAGACTAAATGGCTGCACCTATAACGGGCTTCACCCCGCTCCTGCTCTCGTCTCTGACACTCCACCTGCTTCTCCTCGGTTCTTTGTTAACCCTCACTCCGGGGACGGTGAGCACAGGAGGGGTTTTCAGCAGATGGACACCGGGCCTTCACTATCGAGACGCCGGTAAAGTGAGCCAGCAGCAGCAACAGCATCACTTTGAGAAAGCCAGGGAATCGCCGAGGGGCAGCAGGAATCTACGCCCAAGCAGGTGGATCTTAGCGTGGACTAAGGGATGCTGTGGAGAGCGGCGCGCGGAGGGCATCCTATGGGCAAGGAGGGCGCAGGAAGAGAGACTGAAAAGTGTCGGGACGTTTTGGGCTCCACTACCTTCCCCTCCTCTCCACCCTAGTAGTAGGGGCAGGTTGAGCACCGATGGCGTCGGAGCAGGAGAGGGTGTGGAAAGAGGAAGGATGGGGAAACTGGGCATTGTTTCATCTTCCACCTCACCTGCTCTCATCCTTTTGGTTCTGAATGGCAAAAAAAGGGCAGTAAAAAGGACTAAAACGTGCGCGCAACTATGGTCGGAGTTGAGGCCACACCTTTCCAAACGTGGCGCTGACAGAGCCTTTGTGCACGCCTCTGGACCACGCAGGGCACCCGGAAGTGGTGAGAGAGAAGCAGGAAAGGCGTGCAAAAAGGCTAGTGGGGTGAGGAATATCTCCTCAAAAATCTTCCTTCTGACCAACAAGCCTTCACCTGGCTCATTTCCAGCCACTCCCTACTGGTGCAATCATCCTATTTCTGGATACAGTTTACCTCATGCTAACACTTCAAATTGCATCTCCAAATGTCAACCAAGAAAAGTGGACTGCAGTTATTGTTTTCCAGCTTTTAATTTCTCCAAGACTCCATGTGTTTGTAAAATTCAGGATGAAACAGTTTTTTGGAACAGCATCAAGAAGATTTGGGATGCTGATGAGAGCTCTGCCAGTGTGGACAGGAGGGCTGGTAATTGTTCTCATTTAGACAGACACAGTGTTATCAATCCTAACAGCAACAGAAAGGTGAGTGATGGTGGCAGCAGACCTGGGCACATTAAAAACAGAAAAGAGAAGGGTGTACAGGGAGACATTAACCGCAGTGCCAGTTTACCCTCTTGTGTGAAAAAATTGTTTAATTATGCCAGAATCATGGATGATGGAAGAGGGGTAAAGAGAGGCAGAGAAGAAAGGGTTTACAAAGGCAAACAGCATGATGATTTGACTAATCATGCAGAGAATTGTTCAGTTTTTCCAGTTGTGATGCTATCACTCAGTGCTGATAATAAGCAACAGCAGGAGAAATCAACAATCAGGGGGCGGGGCAGTCAAGCCCAGAGAGAGAGCAGGGAGGTTAGTGGTGGCTGGTTCAGTTGTCTGGGCAAAAAAGAAATGGGGGAGGGATATTTAGCCACACTGATGGTCCCCAGGAGAGGTATGACTCAGATCAGTCACCTCAACCGATTTCTCTCTATTAGCATCTCAGAGAAGCCCAGTCGACACCTTCTATCCAAAAAAAGAGCTTTCACTAATGCTGAATCAACAAACCCTGAACTGGCAGTTTATGAATTCACTCTGAAAGAGCCAAGTGACTTTACAGATATAAGAAGACCATCTGAACGGCATCGCGAAGATGCAGAAAAAGTAGAAGCAACTTCTGAGGCAGAGTCAGCCAGTGACTCTGACCTTTCTGTATCAGCCACAACTCACCCTGCAACAAAACGCAAACAGCGTAGTCAAACTAAAGCGAGGTATCCATCCTTTTCCTGGCCATTGAATTTGACCACATGGCAGGAGGAGTCCTTACTTCCCTCCCCCTCAGCTCATGAGGTTATTTCAGCACAATGGACAGCTCCACAATCCTCTGGAGGCATGTTTATGTGGAATAAATTGAACACAAACAGCAATAACAACAACATAAAGGATGCAAGCAAGGAGATTGATGAATATAGTCATGAATCCAAGACAGCAAAGACAGCCTGGCATGGCGAGACACAAAAACAAGATCTATGGGAGAGTGCTGTCCACGTTAGGTGCATTGAAAGCATTTCCAGTGACTACTCAGCCACTGAGCTAGGTGAAAGCGCACATATGCAATTAAAATCCGGTAATCAAGTGCCATTAGAGCCCGAAGGTGTCAGCCTGTCAGAGAGGCAGCAGATGGGGACCAGAGAAGAAAGGGAGAGAGGTGTAGAAAAGGAGGGAGAGGGTTTGGAGGGGTCTGCTGCTGTTGCTTCTGCTGTTTGGGGAGGAAAATTAAAGGTGGGGGAGGGCAAGAGAGAGACGCGGTGGATGGGAGGTAGAGAATCATGGGCAGAAGAGGAAAATGAGGAGGAGGAGTGGGAAAAGGAGGAGAAGAAAAAGGGAATCCAGGGAGAGGAGAGTAATGTGGAGAGAGGGAGGAGTCAGGGTCAGGATCAGGGCAGTAGCACTTCAACCGTCACAGACTTGGATCACAAAAGAGGGAAAAGAGAGAGTCGAGCAGATGAAAGCAACCAGGGAGGCGAGGGAGGTGAGACTTCAAGGGGGGAGAGGAGTCTGGAACGCCTGATAATAGTAGCAGATGAGGATACCTCACCGGGAGAAAAAGAGAGGAGGATTCTGATGCCGTGGTCTCGTTCTAGACGTGCCGCCAACAAGCATCCTCATTTCTCACTGTATAACTACCAAGTTCAAGTAGCTGAAAACCAGCCACCTGGCACCTCAGTCATTATCATGTCAGCCTTAGACCAAGATGCAGGAGAAGCAGGCAGAGTTAGCTACACCATCGCCCCGCTGATGAACAGCCGATCATCTGACTACTTCCACATCCACCCAGAATCAGGACTCATCACCACCACTCAGATTCTCGACAGGGAGCACATGGACCAGCATTACTTCCGGGTCACAGCGACTGACCACGGCTCCCCACGCCTCTCTGGCACCACAATGGTAGCCATTACTGTGTCAGACCGCAACGATCATTCACCTATATTTGAGCAAACTGAGTACAGGGAGACGATTCGGGAAAATGTAGAGGAGGGCTATCCCATCCTACAGTTGAGAGCAACGGATTCAGACTCCCCATCCAATGCAAATATTCGTTACCGGTTTATTGGAGAATCAGCCGCAATAGCACGGACTGCCTTTGAGATCGACCCCCGCTCTGGACTTATTACAACACGTGGATCTGTGGACCGGGAAATAAACGAGCACTACACACTCCAAGTGGAGGCCAGTGACCAGGGAAAGGATCCGGGGCCACGCTCTGCTACTGTCAAAGTTTTTATCACAGTGCTGGATGAAAATGACAATGTGCCTCAGTTCAGTGAAAAGCGCTATGTGGTGGCAGTGAAGGAGGACGTGAGGCCTCACTCTGAGATCCTCCGTGTGAGTGCCACGGACCGGGACAAGGACAGTAATGCTGCAGTTCACTATAACATCATCAGTGGCAACAGTCGCGGACAGTTTTCCATCGACAGTGTCACGGGTGAAATTCAGGTGGTTGCACCTCTGGACTATGAGTCTGAACGGGAGTACACGCTGCGTGTGCGGGCTCAGGACAATGGAAGACCACCTCTCTCCAATAATACAGGAATCGTCAGTGTGCAAGTCACAGATGTCAACGACAACCCACCTATTTTTGTCTCCACCCCCTTTCAGGCATCTGTGCTGGAGAGTGCCCCAGTTGGCAGCTCCATTCTCCACATTCAGGCCATCGATACAGATTCAGGTGACAATGCCCGCCTAGAGTACAGATTAACCGGCACTGGCTCTGACACACCATTTGTTATCAATTCTGCCACTGGCTGGGTCACAGTTAGCTCTATTCTTGACAGAGAATCTGTGGAGCATTACTTTTTTGGTGTTGAGGCCAGGGATTATGGAATGCCACCCCTTTCTGCCACAGCAAGTGTCACCATCACAGTCATGGATGTTAATGACAATCGGCCCGAATTCCTCCAAAAGGAGTACTATGCTCGACTGAACGAGGATGCAGCCGTTGGTACTAGCGTAGTGACTGTCACTGCTGTGGATCGAGATGTCAACAGTGCAGTGACCTATCAGATAACTGGAGGAAACACCAGAAACCGCTTTGCTATCAGCACGGCTGGAGGAGCGGGCCTTCTTTCATTGGCTCTTCCGCTGGACTACAAACAAGAGCGCCGTTACGTTCTAACTGTCACCGCCTCAGACCGTACACTACACGATACCTGCCAAGTGCATATCAACATCACCGACGCCAACACACACCGACCTGTGTTCCAGAGCGCTCATTACTCTGTCAGCGTGAATGAGGACCGACCGCCTGGAAGCACAGTGGTTGTAATCAGTGCCACAGATGATGATGTTGGCGAAAATGCTCGCATCACATACTTTCTTGAGGACAACATCCCACAATTCCGCATTGATCCAGCCACTGGAGCGATAACACTCCAGGCAGAGCTTGACTATGAGGACCAGATGACCTACACTTTGGCTATAACTGCTAAAGATAACGGGATACCACAGAAATCAGACACAACATATGTTGAGGTGAATGTAAATGATGTAAATGACAATGCACCTCAGTTCCTCAGTCCCAGGTACCAGGGGACGGTGAGTGAAGATGCTCCTCCCTTCACTAGTGTCCTCCAGATCTCAGCCACAGACCGTGACGCTCATGCCAACGGTCGTGTTCAATACACCTTTCAAAACGGTGAGGACGGGGATGGAGATTTTACCATTGAACCTACGTCTGGCATTGTCCGAACCGTCCGCCGTTTGGATCGTGAGAGTGTGCCATTCTATGAGCTGACTGCCTATGCTGTGGATCGTGGTGTTCCCCCTCAACGAACCCCTGTCCACATTCAGGTGACAGTCCTTGATGTAAATGATAATGCACCAGTCTTTCCTGCTGATGACTTTGAGGTTCTGGTGAAGGAAAACAGTGCTGTTGGTTCTGTTGTGGCCCAGATCACTGCCACTGATCCCGATGAGGGTGCAAATGCTCAGATCATGTACCAAATTGTGGAGGGTAACATCCCAGAGATCTTCCAGATGGACATATTTTCAGGAGAACTAACATCACTCATTGATCTGGACTATGAGGCCCGTAATGAGTATGTGATTGTAGTCCAGGCCACATCAGCACCTCTAGTCAGCAGGGCCACTGTTAGAATCCGCCTGGTGGACCAGAATGACAACCGCCCAACTCTGAAAGACTTTCAAATTATTTTCAACAACTTTGTGTCCAACCGGTCCAACAGTTTCCCCAGTGGGGTGATTGGGAGGGTACCAGCCCATGACCCTGATGTGTCCGACAGGCTGTACTACACCATCGACAGGGGGAATGAGCTTCACCTGCTGCTCTTGAATCACACCAGCGGAGAGATCAAACTGAGTCGAAAACTGGATAACAACAGGCCTCTGGTTGCTCCCATGCTGATCACTGTCACAGGTAAGACACCATGAAGAGAAAATGTTTAGCAGAAATGTGGGGCAGTTGGAGTTTGTGATGTCCATTCAGATTCCCCTCAAAGCTTTACTCAGTGTTAGAAAATGCTGTGAAGATAAGAGGTCCAACACTGCGAGGCTTGTGTGTGAGTGAGAAACGGATGAGAGCACGAGAAAAGGACTGGCTGAGCTCTGTGCTTTCGCATAGCTTGGGCTCATGAGGAAATTGGATTTAGTCATCTGGTCTTTCTCAAACCTAATAGAAGGTGATTCAGCAGGTATAGAAGACAAACCAACAAACGGTGGTTTTGTTTCTGAAACCTAGACCTAGGATAAGTTGGGACAGACAGTAACCAATCCTCTCAGGCTCAAAATAAGTTTTGATAAAACGACGAACAACTAAGTCCTTCAGGGGTACTTCTGAGTTAACAAATGCTCATGAAATACTTATGTGGACTAACCAGGTTGGTAGGTTTTAACGTTGCAAATCTGTAACGCCTGCCTCCAGAGGGATAATCTGTTACTTATTTATTTATTTATTTATTTATTTATTTATTTATTGTTAAATCTTCCTCATATATTGTGAAGAAAATGGACTCATCCTTGTTTTGTTTCAAGTGTAAGATGTGTTTGTGGATGTGTGATGTGTAGTGTGGATTTTAAAGGTGGGCAAACACTCATTATTTCATTAAATCTGCTTTAGTCTCTTGCATGAATGAATGCCTTGTGAATCATTTTGTGTGGAAAAAAAATCTCTGGCACTCCTGTTTCAGGAAGTAGAAATTAGTCAGAGGAGTGGGGGAGTGGAAAACAGCAGGATTTGGAGTCTTGGTCATTGATATTCATGATATGCAAATGTTTCGCGTCTGATTGGCTAACAGCAACATATATTCTTTTGCTGCCTTTGTTCACTCTTCCTTCTTGGGTAATTGCAACGTTAATGTTGTATCCCCACAAAGAAGCCTGAATGTGTTCTGCCATGTTGTTGAGTTGCTAATGCTAACTGCTAGCTTCTACTAGCGGAGACACGCTGTCTTCTTTCCTTACCGCTAAATCAACAGCCTTCCACAGCTGCAAGCCAAGGTGGTCAGGGCCATTAATGTTAATAATTCCCAGTGGCGTAGAAGAGAGTGGCCTGTAGTGATGGGAATTCCGGCTCTTTTTAGAGAGCCGGTTCTTTTGGCTCAGCTCACCAAAAAGAGCCGGCTCTTTCGGCTCCCAAGTGGTTCCTCAGATTTTCTGTTGCGTAGAGTACATTTATGAGTAAAATAATACAAAACTATATGTAAAATGATTTACTAATGTAAAAAATGCGATATATCAAATATTTATCATTTCTATGGATTTAATAACTGAACTCTTTAAGAAATCTCCACTTTCCGACTGCTGGCGCTCATTTTCTCACCATCTTCGTCGCACTCTCCTCTCTCTCGCTCGCCTTTTTCCTCCTCCTCATTCCCTCTCGTCTCCCCTCCACCCACACATGCTCTGCTGTGTGTCTGAGTCTGATCCTCCCTCTTCCCCGCCCCTACTGCTCTGTGTGTGGACAGTCTGGACACGCAGTTACACATGTTGTCCAATCGCCTGTAGCTTTCACCAAAGTAAGGGGGGAGGGGAGGGGACGGCTCCCAATGACGAGCCGGCTCCCGTCGTTCACTTCAAAGAGCCGGCTCTTAGAGCCGGTTCGTTCGTGACCGACACATCACTAGTGGCCTGAGAGTTTCCCCGTTTATTTTTGTTGTTTGGCTAATGCAGGCGATAGGGGTAGATGGCTATTTTCACCCTCATAATGCATGTGAACCTCAGCATGACCGATCATACTTAAAAAATAACAAGAATTACACATTTCTCTGTGAAACTCCGCTTTGAATAATTCTGAACAATAAAATCATGTTGAATGAAGAATTTAAAAATTGCCTCGCCCTTCTCAGAGTGAGACAGCTGCCATCACTGGCTGAACATCCTATGAAATGATATATGTGCTTATATAATTTAATGCACAATGACACATCCTTTAAAACTTTATTGAATATTTGATCATTAACAAAATTCTCTACTAGACAAAACTTTGTTCCATGCTGATTTTTAGCTTTAGCTAGAATTCAAGGCTACATTTTTTCCTAAAAACATTTTCTTGTACACTTATGTGTGTTTTATTAGATGTGGCTTTTAAAGTCTGAGCCTTTAACGCTTTTAGGGTTTCCTTTTGCTGTCACTGATCAAAGCCTTAAGAATTAACGAGCTCCAGAAAGAGGAAATGAGAGCAGCATTGTTGCTTTGTAGGGCAAATACTGTGTTCGCATTCTGTCTGTAAGCGTCGCGGAGGAGAGGTTGCTTGGGAATGTGTGTGACCCGGTATCCCATTTACACAGTTTCTATGAGGAGGTTTATGTGTGCTCGATGTTGACCTGTGCACGCTCACGTTGGCGTCATTTTGCATGAGATGAAAGAAAATCTGGGTTTAGCAGACGAGACAAGGGTGAAAGAAGAAGGGGGGTCAGTTAAATGATACAAAGAGATGGATGAGATAGTAATGAATGAGCTTTGTGGGGTCATTGCATGAGTGAGTGAATAGAATTCAAATGACAGGATGAATGAGAGAGTAAACAGAAGAAGTGAGTTAGGTTTAAGAACATAAAGAAAAGTTTGGCTAAGCGGCTAAATTCTGAAAAAAGTTGAGGAAAAGTAATACGTTTGAGTGTGTGTGCGTGTTTGTGTGTGTGTGTGTGTGTGTGTGTCTGATTAATGAGATTTTATCCGTGCTCCTCCCTCTCTTCAACACCAGCTCACCCTCTCCCAGCCCATCTCATCCCCTCCTCCTTGATTCCTCAGGATCTGACAGTTACGAGGTTTTAATAAAACCACAGTCAGCCAGAGTCAAACTTGGAGCAAAGCTGTCACCTTCATTGTTTGCTGTGTGTTATCTGTGTCCACCTGTTCTTCTTCAACCCACAACTGTCTTCTTCATCTTTGTTTTATCTCACGTTGGATGGATGAGATGCATCTCTGGTATTCCTGTTATTAGTTATCATTTAACTTGCCTTCACTTTTCTGTCACAGTTAAGCTTCCGGCAGTTGTACCACTGATGATAAAATGTATTATGTGTAGAATGAATCTTTATTAATTCAAAACCTTTAACCCTGATGAGTATCACAGCCTGCACTTTTCCAGTCACCCTTGATGGGATTTTGAATAGATTATTGCTTGTCGTTCTGTTGTGATCAATACCAAGTCCTCAGCTTGCACCTGTTGAAGTACTTTGTTGCGTACTGTGGTGCGTTCAGGATAATCATTCTGTCATAGACACCTTTTCTTCTTTCATCATCTACTCATGTTTGGATTCAGAACTCAGCATTAAAAGGTCTCATTCACTGAGAATGTAAAAAAAAAATTATTCAACCCCTATCGCCTGCTTTAGCTGCTGAAAGGAATCAGATGGAAAAAAACTGTTTCTTCAACGTCACAAGGAAATTTGCATTCAAGGCTCTGGCCAACTTGAATTGTGACTGCAGAAGGCTGTTGTTCATTTCACATCCAGGAGAGAGCAGAGAGTGCCTCGGCTAATAGAAGCTAACCATTAACAGTGATCCCTCGCTACTTCGCGGTTCGTTTATCGCGGATTCACGACTTCACGGATTTTTTCTTTGGAGCCTTATTCAAGGGAAATTCGCCGATTCGCGGTATTTTTCACCAATTCGTGGTATTTTTCTATGCGAAATATCAAGAAATTCCTTTTTTTTCATCAATTTCATCATAAAATGCACTTTTTGTAATAAAACTATAAAAAAACCAAGTAAACATTTTTTTTTTCTTGAGTTTTACCCACAAAAAGAGAATGTGATCATACGATAATTCAATATAGTACTGTACTGTAAATATGGTGTCCCTACTTCGCAGATTTTCACCTATCGCGGCCAGGTCTGGAACGCATCTACCGCGATAAACGAGGGATCACTGTACACGTTTAGGCTTGTGGAGATCAAAATATCAATGTTGCAAGCTAACGGAGGCAGCATGAGAGTCATGTTGTTGTTAGCCAATCAGAGGTGAGATGTTTGCAGATCATAAATATTAATGAGGACTACTCGTAATCTTATCGTTTTTCATCCCAGAGTCATCTGATAAATTTCTACCCCCTGAAACAGGAGCGTGAGAGGTTTTATTTCCACATAAATCTACTCACGAGGCTGACATGCATACTGGAGAAAAAAGCAATGAAAAAACGAATAAAATGACTTCATTTATGATAAAAAAAAAAGTGTTCTCATGCTTCAAAGTCAGCCAAACACAAGAATAATCCACCTTGTGTTTCCAGTTTGAGTGAGGATGTTTCTGGAGTTCTGCAGACTTGCAGATTTCTGACACCTAATTTTAGGTTGAAGGAGCAGAAATGAGTTTCTTCACAGGAGGTTCCCATGAGCACTGTTCATACTGACCGAAGCTCAAAGGTTTCTCCTAAAAGAAACATGCTCATGCTCATCTATGGTTGTTTTTAGTATTATTATTGCTTTTTGACTCATTTTTCCCATCACATTTTCTATAAGCTCATATTTTGTAATGGGTAAATTTGAATTTCAAATGGGTCAAATCACAATACAATTCCTTCCATTGATGTTTTTTTTAGTTTTTGTTGTTAAAAGCAAAACAATCCTTAATATTCTATTACATAAAATGAGCAACTACCTTTAAAGTTTAAAGCTTCTTTGTGGAGTATTTCTCTTATCCGATGGCACCATCACTGACAAGCACATCACACAAAAACTCTGTTCCTCTGTTTTTTTAAGATGGCGACTTCACGTTTCTGTTTATAAATGTCCTTCTGTAGCCGACAAACAGAGCTAAAACACGTTATTTTACGAGTGTTATTCTCATGTCGTGTTGTGTTTTCATATATTTATATTTTAAAGACTTTCTTGTCCGTGAAAAGTTCATCAACTCTGCATCAGCCGAGGTATTCCTTAAATTTGAAGCAAGTAAGCGGTAGTCTAACGCTATTGGTTAGT